ACCTGATTGTCTTTATGATTCCAATCTGACATACATGTCCATTCGGAATGGACGTAAATTCCCATCTGACATATGTCTATTCCAAATGGACATACAACATGACTCTTTGGTCAACTCTGCTCTGATATCCCCAGATGCAAATCCTTTCTGACAATACCTTAAACATCGAACTTCTGCTTTTTTATGTCAAGTTAGCCCTTGAAAATACCAGAAATCGTGTGCTGGTAGTAATATATTAGTGGGCTTTTTAGGACAATTCCGGTGTAATTTTTGAAAACACTATTCATTCTCTATGTTTTTACTGCATTCCTGGTAAACTTATATATCACATATAAATGGTGTATTTTTCTGTATATTACACCTTAGTGTAATTTTTGATATCTGATTTGATTACCATTTGGCTTTCTGTCACTGTAGAGCATACACCTTTAGGGGTGTGCAATCAGATGCAGAGCATAGCAGAGCATAGTTATCTTATTTGATTGCTAATTAGCATTCTATTACTGTGAGCACAAACCTTTAGGTAAATGCAAAATATGAATGGTGTATTTTTTGATATCCTATTTGATCACTATTTAGCTTTCTGTTACTGTGAGTACATCCTCTCTATTTGATGATAAAAACTCGATTGTATCAAATCAATGTACTTTTTTGCTTAATTTTTTTCTCAGCACACTCAAATGACATACATTTTGCTTTTTATGACACTTTTTCATATTACTATTCTGCTTGCTATTAAAAAAGAAAAAATTCATGGTGAAGATATGAATGTAATGAATATCGATCCTGATTATTTTCCAGATTGGCAAGCTTAAATTTAATCATATTATTTTTATTATTCTAATTCTCTACTAAACCATATTTGATTACTATCTAGCCTACTGTCATTGTGAAGCATGAACCCCAGGGGGTGATTGTGGAGCAAAGTGGAGCATATTTATCATATTTGATCACTAATTGGCTTTCTATTACTATGAGCATGAACCTTTAGTATTAGGTGAATGTGAAACAGATGCGAAGCATAGTTATCTGTTTAGTTAGCATTTAGATTATTAATAAGACACTTAGTAAAAAATATATAGGCTTTTATAAATCATATAAGTGGTGTTTTTTAAGTATATATATTTACTATTTAGTTTTCAAGTAGATTTTTGTAAATGCGAAGTGAAACGAAGCATTAGCATTCTATTAGTTTTCTAATGGCAGAAAGTATAACAAAAAAATATAGCAAATTTTTAGGACAATTTCAGTGTAAATTTTGAAACACAAACTGAGAAGGTGGATTTATAACTCAAAGAGTTGACTTATAGGCTGACATTTTATGCCAGCTCTTGCTGATTTCCAATCTGAAGTTGTCAAGCATAGAACTGCATAACATAATATCCTTTAGCATGTTTTTTACAAGTACTGGGTGCAGAAGAAGTTGGCTTACTACAAACCTTACATAAAATATGGTTTTTTGCTCTCCAATGTTCATGGCATCCTTCATGACATCGGCATCTGCATCCACAGACTTCTCTGGAGTTGTGTATATATTCGCATGTATATTCACCCTGCATTTCGATAAATTTATATAATTATTTTAATTTAAACAAAAGATCTGGTTATATTAATAAAAAACACGGAATACATATTACTATGGCTAAGATACTTAAATGTCCAGGTTGTGATTGAGAAATAAAAACTGGTAAACCCCGAGATCTTAATAAACACATGAATTTAAATGGAAACCTTTGTAAAGGACAATGTCTACCAGCTTTACGTTTAATGCAAAACCCCCCTCAAGTTCTACTAGGAAATCCACCCATTCAAAATTCAGCTGAAAACCCGGTACCAATTCCAGCACAAAATGCACAACCAGCCCCCAAAGGCGATCTCATATCATTTGATGAAAACCCACCAATGCACCAGCCAGCCCAGCTGAGAGAAGTAAATGTGCAGGCAGTCGACCTTTTAACTGATGATATTCCAGATATAAAAGTGGGGCCAAGTTCTAATAACAAAAAAAGAAATCAATTTTAATGATAGATAAATTAATAAAATGGCTATCAAACCCTGAAATAAAAAATAACAAAAAAATTAGATCAAAACTTATACCTAAAACAGATGAAGAATGGTTTGATTTAATGGAAAAACTTGAAGATAATGAGGATAATGAACCTAGTGATTCAGAATATGACACAGCTGATGAAGATCCTGACGTAAATTAATGATCCCTATATTAATAGAATAACAGAAACTGAAAAATTTAATGAAGGAGAGGTATGTGATTATGCATTCATGCCAAAAGGTTATTATGCAGAAAACGAGCCATTAGTATTAGGCTTCTTTGAATCAATTGAGGAAAAAATTGCTAATGTATATGTACTAGACTGATCTGGTCGTTGAACCAATCTGGGATCTGATATATTCTCATTAATATCAGGTGACCTAATTAAGGAAGATTGACCAAGATTGACCAATGAGAATATATCAGATCCCAAATAGGTTCAACGACCAGAACATATTCTTTTCACGTGAGAATGGGAATGTCTATTTGCATAAAAATCGGTCCAACTTGTAATCAATCAATATACAGAATATTGCTGTACTACTATGTGTGGCATGAAGTTGTTACGTTAACTATAGAGCGCTTTCCTTGACATAAATGCAAGCTTGCATATTTAAACTTAGTAGTAGATAAAAACGTTATAGTGCGTGCGCCAAGACGTATATTTTAAGAGCGTAGCTTCCTTCAAAAGCCTCGGCAAAAATATACATAGGGGCCCTCCCCTATATTTGTAATACCCCCTAACAAAGCGGGCAGTAGTAATTGCTTGCGTTGTTGGGCGTAGTAAGGTGAAGTAGTTTACTATTTTTGGGGAACGATTTTATTGGTTAAAATAATAAAAATTTTTATCAGGGTTGAATACAATTGCTAGTTTATTGATCGGGGGGTTCAGTTAGCGTAAACCACATTTCATGGGTAATAATGATCATTGAAATTCAAAATGCATAACATGCATGTTACGGTTATAGTCAAGAAACGAGGCACTTCAGATCATTGTCGATTATAACTAACACAAATGTACTAATTTGGATTAGTGTATAAAGATCGGAAAAAAGTGTCAGAATTATTGATTATAGCGGTTTGTATCCGCTTATTATAATGCATAAGAATTATCAAAGTCTTCTGCTAGTCTTGTGTTTAGTACGCTCTTTTTCTACTCGAATATCAGTCCACCAGTAGACATCATACTTTTACGATGAATAAACTCAGTATTCTATATGTCATGCTCACTTTAAGGGGGTGAAATCTCAAATTAACACTCCACTATTCAACAGTGGAAGAATTGATAAAAGAGATTATTGAAGAACAATAAGAGAGAATTTAAGTATAAATAATAAATTTAATTATTAATAGTTGATACTCAGGTATTTGTATTGATATCTAAAAATAAAACATTATTGAACACTATTATAATCGGCTCGGAGCAGCTCAATAGATTCTTCTAGTTAAGCGCGGATACAAGCATATCTGATATGGGTGCCACCGCCGGAAACCCCATTATTCGCTGATTGCTGTTGTGTCTTGCGGGTGAGCATTTACATGGGTTGAAAATCAGGAAGTACAAGAATTATTTCATTTTGTTAACCCAGGGGTTGACTCATCCATTACGTAATACACTTTCCGGAATAAAATAGGCTGACAATAACATTTGACGGATGTATGAATATGGTGCAGCGGTCAATATGGGTACGGCACTAATTACTTCTATGGGACGTAAACAGCCGTTGATGCAATCGAGCAGATTTAGCAAAAAGCATTTGTATTGTCACCGACTCCGCTGGTATACACTCAGCAAGGTTGGTTTGTTGGTGTATATTATTATAACTTTGCCGAAACATTGCTAATGTTCTCATACGATTTTGCTGGCGTTAAATACGTAGAATATTCTGAGACAAAGGTTTTTCCACATCAAATAAATTTATGCGTTGCCGATATATTCAAGTCATCTGACAAGTTTAAGAGTTTCCGTTTCTATGTTTCATATTTTTAATTATTATATGATTCGATTTACAAATAACCAATCACACTAACACGAGACACGCTGCCATGAGTATTTTTAAATTCAAAGTGGCGCTGAAAGTAGAATAACTTTACTACAGAATACACAATTTAAAACTTCGAAGATAATATCTTCTTGTAATTCTTGATCGTAGACACTTACGTGTATTGCTAAAACCTAAATGTGAGCCGCGAATTTTTTCAAACATTTGTGAAGCAATTAATAACGATGAATTCTGGACTGACTTAATTCAGCCATTATGCAGCACCCTTAATCAGTTCCAAAAGATAAAGCATGACTGCACGACTACCTCAGAAAAGTCTTCAAATATCACACTAATAAGAAAATTCAGTTTTACATGATAGAGCGTTTTGAAAAACGACGGATCATGGAATAACCACCATTAATGATACGACGACAACGACAACAATAATGACATCAGTGTCCTCATTAGAAGATGTTAACTGATCTTAATGGGAGTTCCGTTCTTCAATACCTTATTAACTGTTCACAATGTCGAGAGAATATTATCAGCAGTTGTAGAGGTGAGATGTTGATTAACTACAAACCCTTAGCAATTGAAGGAAAATAGTTGATAACGAAGAGGAGAAGGGAGTAATATCGATGCCGATATTACCATGGATATACCATGCTCACTTTAATTATTCAATATCGATATAGTTTCTATGTCATGTATAACAAATGAGACAAAAAGATGTGTTAGTTACGGGATAGGTGATGTTAATCATCACCTGATTTATTCATGCTTGCTGTGTGTGGGATCGGCAAATTTATGCTGTGATTCTGAACTGCGTCCAAGACAAATACATCCATCCTTCTATCTAACACGCTATTTACCTACAAAAATAATGACATTCGGGTACGTTGTACGGTAAGATTATCAATGTAACGAATTTCAGAAAAACCTTTAAAGTATCTTTCTCCGTATTTATCACGTGATATATGAATTAGTTTGTAATTGGACATGACTTGATAATGAGTATGTCTGAATAACAATGAAATTCTAGTTGATATAACATACACTTCGAGCTACAAGATAGCGAACATGATGGCCATAGAGCGATAACAGTTGGTTACATAACAATAAGATAGCTGAGCATAAAAGTAAATTTTTGTGACAATAAAATAATAATGGGCAGTTACAAGATGCACTCGATAAAGAGTCACATACCATGATTTATATGGGCGTTGTTACACAAAGTTGTTATTGAGAATAACAAAAATCTTGTTAGATACAGAAAATTTGTGGCTTATGTAGATTACACAATCATGTGAAGATCACATTACACAAATTGTGTAACTACCGATATTTATCAATATACCATCTACATTTCTAACGTTTTCAGTCAAACTTTATCGCTACCGTTCAAAGGTATAACACACATGTACAACTTACCAGATTAGTCATGTCTCAGAACGTGTTGAAACTTGCTGAAGTCGGTTACAATAAGGATAAACGGCTTGGAAAAGTCTTGAAAACAAATCGTAACCTTAGACTTGATATAATTAAACCTATTGTCTACTTTAATAATAATTAACATTCATTCGAAATGGATCTATCTAACTTACCCATTCTCGTTCTCTTTCTGTCTATCTCTTTCTTATCGATTCATCATAATCAGGTAACCTTTACGTCTAATATTCTATTGCTTTGATCTTTTATTTAAAGATAATATTAGTAACTTTTTATATATCAAATAAGCAAAATGACAAGTTTCGTCGAACAGGGAAGAGAGTTTGGAAATACTGTTAAAAATCTTTTGAGGAGGAGAGGCGTTGAGCTCCGTCGACCTGGGTGAGATTTTCACTGAGTACTTGTTGAATTATTATGTATCTGAAGTTACGCTGCCACTAGGTGTAAATCGGAGAATTGAAAGCGCTGCGTGGCCACAGCTTGCAAAAGTTTCCAGTCAGGTACCCAGCCCTGGCGTACGGTGGACGGCCTGCTGTGAACGTTCTTCTTCGTTACCGAAAAGTTGCCGTGCTCCGCCAGAACTGTGGTGAATAGGATACATGATATATTATACCGTGCTCCGCCAGATGATATATCTTGATATTATGATACATGTACTCATTTATTTTATAAATAGGCACGAACCTGGTGACGGAGGGTTTGATTTATTCGGGGGATTTAGAAAGCGTACAATAATAGGACAGTGTAAGGTAAATATTGTTGTCTTTCTTCCTTTTTTATTTCTTACCTATGCGTTAAAATAATAAAATTCTTATTTACTTTTAGGGTGGGATGAGAGTAAGAGTAGGTGATGTGGAGAAATTTGAAGGAGCTTTATCAAGATACAGCGAGGATAAAATTATTGCTCTCTTGATAGCTCGATCCGCAATAGATCTCTTTGCGCACAAAATGGAATAGACATTTTTACGGATTGCGCAAAGGATAGAGCAAGATCATCTGAATATAACATCATCCTAACGGATGAATTAAATATGTATTCGGACTTTATCGAGTCACATCCGCTCGATAATGATAGCTCTAACAATAATTTTTCTTTCATTTCTATCATATTGTTATAATTTTTTTTTTCTTATATTAATCTGGTTAAGTCTTAACCAAAATAAAGAAGATGTAACTAACTACATCTATTAATCAAAAATTCTCAATAATATGCAACAGTTTAGATGATATAGTGAAGTATTTTATTATTTAATAAATTATTTACTCGTAACAAATTATTTTCCCGATTCGAATTGTGGATTTTCCTTTTCTGGATATAGTAATGAATCGTATAATTTGAATTCTTCATTATCTAAAGAAATTTCCAAGCTAGAAATCTCTTGCGTTTTACGTAAACTATTTCTGTTGTTACTATAATAATAGTTTCTAATTTTACTACAGATATCATTTTCAGCATAGAATTACTGATTTAGAAACCCCATTTTTTGATACAATACATCCTAAATAATTTGTATTCGTTAACGTTCTTTTTAATTGTCTAACAATTCCAACTGAAACTTTTTTTAAAGACATTTACATTGAATCAGAATTGGTATTCATGAATGACGAATATATATCAATTCCTCCGTCGCCAGTGAATTCAGTTCGATCAGTTAAAAAATTATGGGTTGAGGTACGAGATAAGGTTGCTCGAATTCCACCATTGATTAATTTGTTGAACACGGAA